TACACAGCACAGGGACAGGAGGTACAGCGGAGTAACAAAGTACACAGTACATGGATCTAAGGAACCATGTGACAAAGGGTGCAGCAGACTGATGCATCCACATGCACTTATTTAGCAGATTCCTTCATCTGAAGTGACGAACATGTAAGGGTCAGAGAGCAGGGTCATACAGTGTCTTTGGGGCAACTGGGGTTAAGGGCCTTGGTGAAGGGCCCAGTGGTGAAATCACTCTGCTAGCCATAGTATTAGAACCGATGACCTGCCAAATCAGAGTCCTAACCTGCAGTGCCAAACACCGCCCCCTGCAGCACAATGAAAGGAAGTACAGTACAATAACAACAGGAACAGCACAGGGACAATTAGTGGGGTAGTAGGACTGTACCTTTGCGGGTATCCAGGGTGAATGTGTGTTCACTAGGCTCCTTCAGGTGAAGGGTAGCAGCCAGGGGGCAAGGAATGTCTGCGCGATGACACTGCCCTAGCTGCCCATTGTAGACCCCTCCCATGTGCATGATGCCATTGAAGACCCTCCAGCCCAAGAGCCCATTAGCCAGCGGGGGCAGGAAGCGTTCATCAAGTGGCAATGAATCAGATGTGAAGATGTAAGGGTCAGGATCCTTCCGGCTCATTCTGGAATGGTTACTGTCGGTAAACAATGCTATAAATAAGAGCTCATTAATCATTAGCAGGCATAACAACAGATACACTGACTCATGCCTCTTAAAATATTAAATACATTAGAAAGCAAAGGGCATCTGACGTATTTGGACTATGCTGGTTCCACGCTGGCTACTTATACAACATAATAATTAAATATGCAGAAGATAAAGTAATCTTATTATAACTGAATATTATGCAAAGCTGCTGTAGTAAATAACGATAAACACATTGTGAGTGATACAAATGATAAGCTTGAAAATAATTATCCCTCTTAATTAGTGTCATATTAAACAATAAAAAAAAAACGGTATTTGATAAAGTATTGGATTCAAGATTAGAACAATAAACACGTTTGTTTTGCACTCCATTTTAGCCCAAATGTGCTTTCATAGCATGATACAGATTACAGAAATAAAATCAGCGGGTTGAACACTATTAGACATTATATATAATGTTACTGAACATGACACTAGCGTACAGATAATTGAGGGGATTTATCCACGTTAATAAAACATTAAATAAAAAGCTTCTGCTCTTATTTGAGTACTTTCAACTGTATTTAATCATAGACCGAGTCGTTATTGTCAAGTTCGCATAAAAAACAAAACAAAAACGTGACACAATTGCATGAGAAAGTAGTCAGAGTTTTTACTTAAAATGCGGAAAATAATGATTGTTTAAAAACATTTAGAGGATAAGAATAAAAGTAGTGTCACACCTTTTCTTCGTCAGAAATTCGTGTGAAACGCAGAGCTTCTGCCTTTTCCTGCCTAACCAAAGCGCCGGAGCGCGGCCTCGTCCAGCTTCCCGTCGATATATCAGATGTCGCGGGAAAATGGCTTTTAAAGAGGCGGAGTGGGCGGTCAGCCTCGGGCGGGCTGCGGTCCAAAGACACGGACCGGATTTATCAGGCTGAAAAATGTCCCTGAGCAGGATACCTCGACAAGGAAAGCACGACCAGGTGTCTCAAAAGTGACTAAAACAAAGGGCAGCTTGTAGTTACAGACGGACTTGTAGGAGGAACTGTTTCGAGGAACTGTTTACATGGTGAAGTATGAGGTGTACGATACGTAACGGATAAAAAAAAAAAAAAAATGAAAAAAAAAAAAAAAAAGCCACCGCGCGCTGTAATACTGAACTTCACCACGAGATGGCACGCATCACTAGCTTTGGGCCCCTGGCATCTTGCCAGAATTGGAGCGGCTAAAACCATGGGAAAAGGCTGATGCCTTCATCTGGTTTGCCCTTATAAGGCTGCAATCCGTCTGCTCCTCTCTCACTCACTTTCCCTCAGTCTTTCTCAGACCTAGGAGATATTTCCAGAGAGGGTGGCTTGGCCTGCCTTATTAGGTGGCGGGCAGGATGTAGGCTGCTTGCAGTCCAGCACTATATCCCACACAGTCTGGGACTTTCGGGCAGGTCCATGGAAGGGCCCTCTGCCACTTCGTCAGATTGTTCAGTACCAAACTGACTGTCGAGGAATTCAAATAAGAGCCTCTGGTTACAGCCAAAGAGGTATATATTTGTAAGTTCCTAACCGGTGGATTTATAAACTTATGAAGAACTTCTGTTAAATAAGAGTAACAATAGATGTAAGTATGATATATATATATATATAGTTTTACACTTGAATACCCATTTAAGTATGTTAATTTAAATTGCAAACTATAAAATTAGCTTGAACAACTAAATAAGACTCATAACAATAAGATCAGCCACATGCATGGCATTTGCCACAGAGATGAGGCCAGCAATGATTAGTCAGTTATGGGCCTGTAGCCACGACAACTCAGAAATGCCATTTCAATAGCATTTCAGCAGACTCCACCCCTTCGGCTGTCTCCCCCTCAGTCTGGCTGCGTATATCTGGCCTCTCCTCCCCCATGCTCTCTCGTTTTAGGACCATCTGTCCTGGGACATTATTCCAGCTGTTGCTTCCTCTCCCTGCAAACACCAGAACTATGAGGACTGAGGCAGACTGAGACAGGAAGGTGCAGCCAGGGGCAGAGAACAGAGAGGGACACATTACATCACACACTCACAGTCAACATCGATTAGATTTACACTCTTTGCCCATTCATTGCTGAGTGACATTCAACAGAAGAAATTAGGTTAACTACCTTCCTCTTGGCTACAAAGGCGGATTTCATCTTTCAACACTGAAACCGCAAATATTTGGTCACAGAACCAACCCGCAGGTGCAGAGAGTTAGGAAAATCAATAATTCAGAGGACCAGGGAGAAGCAGGAGGAGGTGTTAGGTGTTACATCTAACATCTAACGCAGTAGCAGACAGTTCTCTACCATCAGAGGTACCTGGAAGAGTTTAAAAGTTAAAAGCACCAGCATTTTAACTTGGCAATGTGGTAAATGTTGTTCCCTATCTTATAACTGGGAGCTCTTATAACTGGCCATATTTTATGCATATTATTTACATCAGGGGTGGCCAATCTTAAGATGACAGAATCTCAAGATTCAGTAGCCACGGGAAGCAGGAGAGGACTGCAGAACCTGAAGGATCCAGAGCTTACTGATGTCCCAGCACTGGCTGGGATCTACGTGTCCTGTAACCCTGGATGCCAAAATGCACCATCACAAGTGATGTATGTAAGTGATGAATGCTTTTTGAAACACATGCATGTTTTTCGTACAGGCCAGTCTTCCTTTTCTGGAACATTCCATCGCTCAGCCACACATGAAGCACAATTTAGACTCAATTCACTGCACACATTTGGTATAGGTAGAAACACGCATTCAGAGCTCAAGCAGAATTCTGTTTTCATATATTAATTTCATTTTTATAGCATGCATTTGCCAAAATGGTTGCCCTAAGGTGCCTAAAAAAATAACAGAACCCATATTCCCTCGGGTATCAGGTAGCGACTACTGAGTGGACAATTGAGGCTTTAAAACCCACAGGTGTAACCCCTCTGGGTTTTGCTGTCACCAGGGACCTGAACTACGAAGCGGGGTTACTGGCTTATCGGGGTAACTAGTCGGATGTAAGGTAGTCTGGGCAAAATGTAAGTGAACGAATATGAAGTCCATTTAAACTGTGGTACCTTAAATCTGACAAGTTACCCTGATAAGCCAGTAACCCGCTTCGTAGTTCAGGCCACAGGCGTAGTGATAAAAACAAACATTTATTTGTCTTCTTGTTTTCATTTCCAATTAAACTTTCCCCACTTTTACTGCTTCATTGGGAATATGATCCAATTGTCTGACTGATGTTGGAAAATAAAATAAAAATGCATTGTTGTTGTTCCTGTACTTTAACTTATCACTTTGTCAATGTCATGCTGTCCCTCACACCCATCTGCTCCTCCTGGCTCACGTCGTCACACCTTCTTAAATAGAATTTATTCCCACTGTTCCTGAAGAGGGACACATTCAGGCAATAATGAATTCACACTAAACAATGCATGCTAAATTCCATTATAAGTTTAACTGAACTGCAGAATTGAATAAACTTCATAAAACTTTCTTGGTTTAATACAAGCCAACACAAATTATTATAAGTTAAAATGAATTAATGGCCTCTACACCAGGGCATATGAAATGGGGGAGAAGATTCTGTTACACTCTTACAGCCAATTTGCGAAGCCTCTGTCCCGCCGTTTTTGTTTAGCCAGTGTGCATAAGAGCCAAAATGGTGGCCAGATGAAACAGCACTGATTGTACTGGGAATATCTGCATTTTGGCAGCAGTTTCAGTGTCTAAGTCTGGAAAACGGAAGTAGATTCATGGCACAAATAAACACATCAACAAAAGTCAAGAGCTGTTCAGTACCATCGCTCAGGTAAAAAAAAAAAAAAATCTAAAGGAAGTTCTAAAAGATAGAGTAATGCATAAAAGGTGCCTCATGTTTTCAGACACCCCCTAAGAGCACATAGTAGCGTCTTTTCCATTCCATATACAGTAGTTCCTTCATGTACATGTTCTGTATGTGTCCTGGAAGATGGGGGTAGCTCTGTCCCATTCTGAAACAACACAAGGGATGTTTTAGCTCAGGGGCTGGCAGATCCAGGCCCCGAAGGCCAGAGAGTATGCTGGTTTTTGTCCCTGGTGAGATCTTAATTCCCCATTTGCTAGCTTTTAGCTGAGTGAATGTGCACAATTCAAGTTAAACCAAACATATAGAGGACTTGACATTGTTCATCCCTTTAAGAAATTTGTTTTGGGTATAATACAGCAGCTGAAGTGTAAAGTGAAGTACATTCCGAAACTAATACATTTGGTTGATCTCTGGGACTGTGTAGAATGAAACTCTGAATCTTGAGAATCCAAGCTTAGTAGCAGTAAACCCCACCAGCAAGGTTATTACATCTAACAGAACTTCAAGGCATGATGAATAATAACATGGCACTCTGCCAGTCACAGAAGGGTCTAACCCACTACCCATTGTCCCCTTCATTAACTCTCATTGGGTTAAATGAAGCACTGATTGCCAGTGGCTGGTGGTTGTGATGGTGTGGCTCTAGGTTAGCCCTTCATGTCCGTGATCAGAAGGTCAGTGGTTGAAATCCTGTGACTGGCAGAGTGACTTCACTGCTTGGCTGTCGAGCTTGGTCATTAATCCTAATTCAGTAGTTCTCAATCCAGCTCCCACCAGAATGTTTTCATTCAAATCTTAATAAGGTTCATATGGTCCTTAACAGGCTAATAATGAATGTGGCAGATTGAAAGCAGTGTGGGTTGGAATGAAAACATTCTGGCAAGGGGGGGCACCATGAACAGGACTGAGAACCACTGCCCTAATTGCTCCAGGGATTGACTGACCCTGCTTGTTCAGCTATACATTGCTTTAGATCAGTGCTCTTCAAATCTGGACCTGAATTCCAAATCCAGGCCTTGTTTTCAGTTCTCCCTGGTAGTTAGTTTAATAATTTCTGATTCTGATTGGATAGAGGCTTCACATCTGGCTCACAGGTAAAGGAATGCTGGGAAACCAGCAGCTCTCAGCCTTTGAGGACCGTGATTTAAACAGCCATACTTTAGATGAAAAAGTATCTGCTGAATAAATTAAAAAGTAAATGTTTGCTGAGCTGCAGTGATTTTCACCATTTTAATCTTTTTATGAATCAGAAAAATAGCACACATACAGATGAAGAAAGATCAGAGCCGCCGGTAATTCTCACTTATAGGCTCACGCATCGAAATTAAAAGGTATAAAGTAAAGGAAATGCAGCCAGACTGCAGTCATCTGTCAAACACCAACGGGCAGCACTGCTGTGAAAGGATGAGTCTGGACTGTGTGTGTATCATCACACACACTTATAACTGGCATCTGAAGCACGACAGGCACCTGCAGTCTTTCTCTGTGCTTATGTTTATAAGGATGGGCATATATAGGAGCCAAAATGGCTGCCAGACAAGACAACTTTGAGCAAACAGGCAAGAGCTGCAATGTGTGTCTGGCAGGGACTTCAGTGACCAAGGCTGAAAAACAGGATATCATCATGCTACCAATACATCAGAAAATGTCAAGGCTTGTTTGTTCCCTCAGATATAAAAAGAAATATATAGTAAGGGATTTATAAAAATAAACTTGGGCACAAATGGACGTCATCTCGAGAAACCCCTAGAGGGGGAAGTAGAAAATCTTTTCCAACTCATGTAGAGCAGTTCCCAAACATACATGATCTGTACATTTCCTTGGGGTGGGGGCTGATGTAGATTACATCTGTCCAGTGCTGTTGAATGCACAAGGCACTATTGGGGTCTCTTCTATTTTGCATGGAAGGCAGGTAGAATGAGTCCTTACCTGCAAACAGGAGTGGTGACCGATTTTCACAGTTGTGTGAGGATTCATAAGAGCAGGTCAACCCAGGCTACCTGGAGAAGCCATATGGCCATGTGACTGGCACAAACTGAGGCAAGTACCACAGGAATATGGGATGCCAGGGCTGCTACTATGCGCCATTGGCTCCCTGTATGAATATAGTTATGAGTTGTGTCTGTAAAAATGGCACAAAGTCATTTAAAGTGGGTGTCAGCACAGCAGTGGCTGGAGGGGTGCCTGATATGGAAGACAAGAGGTGATATCCCTGCTACATGCAGATGGTGTTGCGGTCTTGGCCACATCCAGCCAGAGCCTCCAGTATGCACTTGAGTAGTTGGGAATCAGCACCTCAAAATCCAGCGCTATGGTACTGACTCATAAAAGAGGGGATTCCCCCTTTGAGCTGGTGGTGGGGGATCTTCCCTTAGTGAAGGTGACTAATAAGTACCTGAGTGAGGCTATATACCTTGTGCATGATTGGGTTGGTGGCTAGAGTGGAAGCTTCATTGTCAGATGAAGCTCACATTTTTCTGGTCAGTCTAGGTCCCTGTTTGCGCTTACGCTCATGAGCTGTAGGTAATGACCGACTGAAAAAGGTCACAGACACAAGCAGCTGAATTTAGGTTTCTCTGCAGGGTTGCTGAGTTCTCTCAAGAGCTCGGAGATCCAGAGGGACCTTGAGGGTCTGCTGCTCCTTCAACTCGACAGGAGCCATCTAAGGACATTCAGGCAATTCATAAGGATGTCACTGGGTCAGATCCCAGGGCAGCTGTTCTGGGCACGTCCCACTGGGCCGCAGCCCTGGGGCAAAACCAGAGCATGCTGAAGGGACTACATCTGCGACTGGCTTGGGAGTGCCAGGGAATGTTGAAGAAGATGAAGCTATTGTTAAACAGGCATCCAAAATATGCATCAGACAGCTTTTGATGTAGAGCAGGGGTGGCCAGTCGTATCCAGAAAGGGCCGCTGTGTGTGCGGGTTTTTGCTGCAACTCCCTCATTAGATTACTAATTAGAGGACTGATTGGCTGAAGAGTCCTCACACCTGTGTTTGAGCAGCTGACCTAAAGGTTATCCCAGAAACCTGCATACACACCGACCCTTTGTGGATAAGATTGCCCATGATGTAGAGGATTAAGATTTCAGTTAAATGAACCAATTTTATACCAAAACCATCAGGAGCCCATAGTATGCTGACCTTTATGATCTTTAAATCGAAACCAATTTGTTCAGTTTGATGGAAAAATAGCTTCCAGCTCAAAACTCAATTGGAACTAAAGCTGCGCAGATACTCTGGCCCTGCAGGACCAGGCTTAGATGCTGCTGCTCTACATACTGCCCTAGAAACCAGTCACCCACATGTGGTGCTGAATACCTACCATGCGAGCAGGCTTTCACTCCATTTAAGCATTAAATAGGCTGGTCTAGATTTCACATCTAGGGCAGCCTGGCAGCACAGCACAGCACAGCACAGCACAGGACATACTGCTCTGGTTGAAGTGCCTCCCCAGCTCTACGTCAGCAGATCCACATTCATTTTCTTTCAGTGCTGCTTATTTTCTGCATTTCACCTTTTCATGTGAAAGTCGACTCAGCCTTTCATTCTGTTGATGATTCTGTTGAACAACTTTCCTGGTGTGGACAAAAGTGTGATCCTTCTGTAGTTCTCATTTAGCAAGGTACACTGTTTGGCTTAACGCATGGGGACACCTCTACTAATTAAGCCACGCCCATTGGTGACGCAAGTGTGTAATTAAGCACAGTCACGCAATATCCTGCTGTAAACATTCATTGCAGAATGGACAATTTTACAGAAGAGATAAGTGACTTATCATTTGGCACCATTATATAATGCCATACATCCAACAAGTCTTTTCGCAACATTTCTGCCCTGCTAGGGCTGCCCCGGTCAACAGTAAGTGATCATGAAGGCCAAATGTCAGCTGTGCAGTGGTCGTCCTACATCAATACTCACACTGAACAGCACCTGATGGGAAGCTTTCCCAGAACACAGGCTATGATTGTCAATGGACCAACTAACTTCATATTAATACTGTTGGTTTCATCATGAAATGTTGGACGAACCCGTGTCCTCGTACTTTTGGCTATAGAGTGTAGTTCTCAGGTGGATTTCATTCTGTTAGTCTATTCAGAAGTTCCTCAAAATATTCCACCTAACTGTATATTTGTTCATCTCCCACGACCAAGACCTCCATTCTTCTTCTTTGTGACGTAATGTATTCTCGTGGTTTCTGGCTGGTATCATACGGCTCCTTTGTGTTTCCATTTCTTGCTGCTGGTTTGGCTTCTTCTGCCACTTTGTCAGTTTAGTTTCACTTGCTAGCTATTTTTCACATCCTTGTTAGCTTCCACATACTTTTCTCTGACTTGGCTTTTCCAGCTCTTGCTCTGCCCCTGTTAACTTCCGCTTTCTCCTTTTTCTCCTCTAGGATAAAGTGTGAGGTATCTGATCCACCTTTTATGTTGAAATTTGCTTGGCCTAAGGACTGTATGTTGATCTTACAGACTCTTTTTTTTCTCCCACTTGGTGCCAAATGTCTCATCTTCCATCAATTTTTATAACTTGAACTCTATTGCTGATGGACATTGCATATTCCTCCAGGTTCTGGACACCCTTCTGAGGCTTGGTGTTGTATTTTTGGCATGGTGACCAGAAGTTACATCTGCCCATTGTATATTATTGTACGTAAGTGGTGCATGAATGTTCCCTGCGATGGACTGGCATCCTGTCCAGGTTGTACCCTAGTCTTGTCCTCCAGGTGACCCTGACCAGAACATGTGGTTAGAAGACACCAAAACTTCACTTCGAGTACTAAGAGCCATTATGTTATGTAATGATCCACTATTAAAGGGCATTATTTAAAGGGCACAAGGCAGAACTTTCAAAACCCAATTAGGCCAAAGTAACTGGGATCTTGAATGGTTCGCTTACCTGATATATAACCGATATTCAGGTACTGAACAGCACTGGAGTTTAAATGCAACAAACAGCTTCTGTTCAAACCCATAAGCTGAGAAATAACTTAGTAAGAAAATGTCACTTTCCTGAATCAAAAGAAAATCAATGCAAGAACTCTCACTTTACATACATTAGTTTAGCAAGGTATCCATCTTAAGTGTGCTTATAGTTAATGAATGTCTCATGAGGTATGTAGATTTTATGGAAGTCATTAAAATTATCTAAATGATATTTCAATGATGTTGAGCTGGCAAGGCCCATCTGTATTACAAAGTCTGCTCATGCAAGATGGACACCACACACACCCAAGCACAAGGCAATATTCAGTCAGATTATCACCCAGATTAAGTGCGGACTAGTTTCAAACCTACAGCTCTGGAAGTGTGACCTTATCCACTGAGGAAACATTCCACCTTGTTACCAAGTCATTTCCTTTATAACGGCTTGTACCATCAGCGATGAGATATCAATCAGGCCTCACAGAGTTGGGACCGACCCACACGGTCTCCCACCACCTCCACCAAAGAAAGGCGTTCCCAGGATACAAACACTCATAGCTTTATTATCAAGTGCTGACGCTGGTTCAATATATTAGAAAACCTAACTTGGAGAATGGGGAAGGGTAATAAAGTTACTTTCACTTCACATGGGTTATCGTTTCAAATGAAGGCATTTTTATACACATACTACAATTTCTCTGGTGGGAGTGAAGAGAACCAACATTTGTGTAAAACAAAACAAAAACAACATTATAACAATATTCATTATCATAATAACAATAATAATAAAACTACATTGCATATTAGTGTTTCACAAAACAGCTATTTGTATATTGTGCAATAACCTTTGTCCTTCTGCATCTGGGGAAGTGGGAGGGGGCTACTCTGCCAGCCCTTTCTGTGGTAGCAGGTGGGAGTGGTTGACTTTCCAGGTGCATTCTAGAAGGTATGGGAGAACAGGGGGTAACATGGAGCTGCAGAAGCTGCAGGGGTGCTCCAGGTAGGCCGGTGTCCATGGTCAGATGTTTGCGAGGAAAGCTTGTGTGTGGTGAGTGTCTGACAGGCGTGTTCAGTGCACCAACCTCAGGAATGATGTGCATTTGGAATGATGGTGGGGTAACAATGCTGTGTTGGACAGACAAGTCTGTGTTCAGGCAGGTGTGCCGAATGTTGCTTTGACCAGCTGTGGACTGGAACGCCAATGTGCTCAGATGTGCGCAGCAAGAACATCATGGCACTAAGGTGCATGCAGATCTATGTGATAGCCTTCAGGAAGTCGTGCAGACGATGCCTGTGGTCGGACAGAACGCCTGGAGTGTGTCTGGAGGTGTGTCATGGGGTTGGAAAGGTCTATCGTTGTTGATGCATGTTGCTCAGGGTACATGGATATTAAATGAGTATCTTTCTGTGAGTGTGCTTTAAAATGTCTGTGAGCACACAAATCTTTGTGTACGTGGGCTACTGAGTGTCCAGCTGCTTATCTCCGTCCCAGTATGTTTGGTCTTCATTTTCCCTTTACTGACAAGCACGCTGGGCTGGAGGATCTGATCCTACAAGGAAGTGTGGGACCTGTGGACAAGCTGGTTAGGAGCTGCAAGGCTGAGTGGTGGAAACCTTCTTAGCGAAGCATAAAGGGGTGACATTCTTTTCACTGTCTTCTCTCTTTGGCACTTGAAGGGATGGAAGCAGAGGGAAGCAGGCTGACAGTGTAGGATAAAATGGGAGAAGGGTGGATACAATGGCTTGTACAATGAGGGGCTGGGAGGATATGGTGGGTGGGTCATATTGGAGATAATGAGGGCTGATTAGTGGGCAGAAGGGGTATGGACAGGTTAACAGAGCATTAGTGAAGGAGTATCAACTGGTGAGTGACTGGAATATGGCTGAGTAAGTGGTGTGGAAAGAGGAATGGGTGGGACATGACTCACTAATGGGTTTTTAAGAGGAGAGTGGGCAATACATAACTGACTACAGGGGCGTGGACAATTTATAACTGATTAAATAGGCGTGGAGAGGGGAGTGGCCAATTCATAACTGATTACAGGGGCGTGGAGAGGGGAGTGGACAATTCATAACTGATTAAATGGGTGTGGAGAGGGGTGTGGCCAATTCATAACTGATTACAGGGGCGTGGAGAGGGGAGTGGACAATTCATAACGGATTAAATAGGCGTGGAGAGGAGAGTGGCCAATTCATAACTGATTACAGGGGCGTGGAGTGGGGAGTGGCCAATTCATAACTGATTAAATGGGTGTGGAGAGGGGAGTGGACAATTCATAACTGATTAAATGGGTGTGGAGAGGGGAGTGGCCAATTTATAACTGATTACAGGGGCGTGGAGAGGGGAGTGGCCAATTCATAACTGATTAAATGGGCAAGGAGAGGGGAGTGGCCAATTCATAACTAATTAAATGGGCGTGGAGAGGGAAGTGGCCAATTCATAACTGATTACAGGGGCGTGGAGAGGGGAGTGGCCAATTCATAACTGATTAAAGGGGCGTGGAGAGGGGAGTGGACAATTCATAACTGATTAAAGGTGCGTGGAGAGGGGAGTGGCCAATTCATAACTGATTAAAGGGGCGTGGAGAGGGGAGTGGACAATTCATAACTGATTAAAGGGGCGTGGAGAGGGGAGTGGGCGGAACAGAATGGGCAGTTCACTTCTGGCCGAAGGGATGTGGACAGAAGAGAGCATTACTATTTGCTCTCCCTGTGACCCCCTTGGCTTTCCCTCTATTTTGACAGCTTGCTGATGACGCGGATCAGGGCCCCGTTCTCATCCTTCAGACGCTGGTTATCGGCTCTCAGGTCCCCCAGCACCTAATAGTGGGAGAACACACACACACACACACACACACACACACTGCTGAAGATCCATCTTTTGGGAGGGTGCTTTCGTGTCGCCCCCATAAAAGACTCTCTTATTAACATGAGCCAAGGAGCATGACATACAAACATATCACCTCAATGAATATCGCGGCCACATTACTGAGAGAGAAGCAAGTTAGAGAAAAAAAAGCAAGATGGAATAGAACAGAAAGATGAGCAAAGGGAAGAGAGCAATGGAGAATGGGGATGTAACTTGGAAAAAAAGGAGAGAAGATTAAAAGAGGAGAGAGGGCTCCAGGAAGCAGGGTCAAGGGGCCTGCTGTTTATGCTTTTCTTCCTTTGCGAATATTTTCCCTCGTCAGCTATGTAACCTATTTATACAGCTGGGTTTGCTCTGCATACACACCCCTGACCCAGCTTCAGGTCGCAACGTCACACCCCCCGGAATTCGACCCCCATTCGACATGTCCCGCACCCTGACCCAGAGCTGTACGCTTCTGGGCACCTTCAGACCGGGCTGCTTGTCTGATTACGTTCAAGCTACGCCCTGCTTCTGCTGCTCTCAGTCGCTTTTCCCATCTCAAGTCATCCCTACCTTCAGCTCCTCCTCCAACTCTGCCACACGTCGCTCCAAAAGTCTCCGCTCCTGCAGAGGAACAGGGACGAGGGTCAGCGTCCTGCATCCCTGTGGCTCAGGTTGGGGAGAGGCAGAACGGTTCGAGGACGAGCCCAGAGCCAATGGGGACAAACTTACCTTCTTCTCCAGCTCCAGGAGGGCGGAGCAGTCACTAAAGCGCTCTTGTCTCTGCAACAACAACATGAATCAGGGCAGTTACAGGAAGAAGATGACAGAGCTGTGACAGACAGTGCAATGGGAGAAGGTAAATACGACATTCTGCATGAAGCCAGGCTGGTTCAGGGATGTGAGGTGTATGCAGGTACCTGAGTGGCTTTATCCAGATCGGCCCGGGTTTGGGACACGGTCCGCTGCGTGTCCTGCAGCTGAGACTGCAGCTGGCTGTTCTCCAAAGACACTTCCTCAAACAACTGGAAGAGCAAGGTGTGAGAAAGCAGGGGTGAGCTTACACATACATGCACCCACATACACAGACACTGCGACTCCCAGGTGTGTACGCACCCGCTTATAGTCCTTCGTTTCGGAACCACGACTGATGATGTCATTCAAAGGCCCATCAGACCTGCAGGTGCAAAGAGAAGGACATGAATCCCTTAAGCCCTAAAGAGAAGAAGGGAGCGAAATGACAGTGGAAGAAGCAGGGAAATCCAACTGGCTGCAGGAGGAGACGGACTGGACCCATACCTGCTGCTGTTCCGGCCAGCCTGTAAAAAAAATGTGAAGAATTAAAATCTGTCACTCTGTGCTCCCACCCTTCCCCCCCCAGCCCACAGATTAACACACAGGGACCAACAGACATACACACCTGTGACTGGGAATCCGAGCCTCTGCTCCCCCCCTCCTCTTCTGCACTGAGTTCATTGTCATCGCTCTGCCGGCACACAGTGGATGGCAGTGAGTCAGGCTGCCTAACAGGTGACACGTAGGGCACCACATCGAGCCGCGTCCTTCCTCCTCACCTCTCCGGTCCGCTGCGCCGCCCTCCGTCGAACCCGAGTCCTTCTCTCCCTGTTCAGCCGGTCCTCCAGGCTGGTGCCGCCTTCCTGGGAATCTGAAGTGTTTCCACGTTTAAAAGAGTGTAATGCACAGCTTGGGGTGCATTAACCCACTCATTCCATAGTTACTACACATTTGCTGTACACATTGGTACCTAAAGACATTATTTTCACATTTATGACACAAAAATGCACTTATTAGTACCATTGACTAAACATTTAGTCAATGGTAATTTTAAATTGTTTTACATCTGGAAATTTAAGTAATCTTAATTAGTATTAAAGATTGCAATCGACTGTGTCTCACTCCACAACGATAAAGGCTTGAGCGGAAACTGGAACTGAGCTTCTTTAAATGTCTTATTTCTGATTTGTTGACCCAGTTTATTCATTTCAAATTATCGAGCATGTGGGGCCGTCCTCAGCGTCCCACTGCGCACGGCAGGCTGTGCTCACTGCACGTCCCCATCACCATGTGACGTGCGAACTCCAGAAAAGCTTGTTACCACTGGGAAAGGATGGGGGTAGGGGAGGGGGGGGCGCTGGAGGCGTACCTCTTCCGTCTGCCGTGTGGGGGCGAGGGGCACCGGCGGGGGTGGTGAGGCCCAGCAGGTCTGACTTCTGGAGGTTGGCGATGCGGGACCTCCAGCTCACTTCCTACACAGTGGCAGGGCATCATCACCAACATGACATCATCACCAACATGACATCATCACCAACATGACATCATCATTCAGCGCCCCAGCACGATCCGCTGCCATCTGTGGATGCGCACTATGACTGGCAGCATTAAACAGTAATATGCTGGATCAGTGTTATTTATCATGGGCTCTGACCCCCTCGTATCCCTCTCATCCTCCTCCTTTTTTTTCTCTCGTTCCTTTTGCTCTGTCTTGATTGTCTTCTCGGCTTCCTGTAAGTCGGTTAGTGTCACACCCTGTGTGAAAAAAAGGAACTGGGCTACATCACTGGTGGATGTGTCCCCATTAATACTCATTCACACGCTGAAGACAGACAGGCTCTTTGAATGACAGACAGGCACCATGAATGATACCCCCAATGACACTCTGAATGACAGACAGCTACCCTGTATGACACTCTGAATGACAGACAGCTACCCTGTATGACACTTTGAATGACAGACAAGCTCCTTAAATAACAGAGAAGCACCCTGACACTCCCAATGAGATCCTGAATGACAGACAGGCACCCCGAATGACAGACGGGCACCCCGAATGACAGACAGGCACCCTGAATGACAGACGGGCACCCTGAATGACAGACAGGCACCCTGAATGACAGACGGGCACCCCGAATGACAGACGGGCACCCTGAATGACAGACAGGCACCCTGAATGNACGGGCACCCCGAATGACAGACGGGCACCCCGAATGACAGACGGGCACCCCGAATGACAGACGGGCACCCTGAATGACAGACAGGCACCCTGAATGACAGACGGGCACCCCGAATGACAGACGGGCACCCTGAATGACAGACAGGCACCCTGAATGACTCCCCGAATGACAGCCTTAGCCTCCAGCGCTGACCTGAGTTGACCTGCGGGACTGCCGGGCATGCCTGGAGCGTGCCTTCCTCTGCGCTTCAGCCTCCTCATCCCTCACGGGAGTCAGATAGGACCTGGAGGGAAGCAGGTGGGGGTTAAACCATACAAGGACCTGAAAAGTCTTCCAAATTCCAAATTCGGCCCTGCTGGCTCCGCCCCCAAGATGCTGCCCCCCCCATACTCACTTGCGCCGCTGTTTGGTCTCCTGCTCTGCAGTTGCCAAGTTCGCCGCATTTGAGGTTGTTGTTGAAAACGTGTCCCTTTTGTCTGCCTGTTCCTGAGCAAGTCTGGGGAGCCGTGGATATAGGTGTTAAGCTTTTTCCAAAAAGTGCAATAAAAGGATTTCAGTATGTACTTAAAATAACTACCACAAACATATATGCCGTACCAAGACAGACAAAGAGACAGAGGGACAAACCTCTGGGCGACCAGGCTGTTGAGGCGATTGAGCCCAGAAGTGTATCCTGTGGTTACAGAGGTCACCGTGGGGTCATCTAGTTTTTTTCCATAAGATGAGCTGTATGAAAGAGAAATTCCTTTGAGATGTCAAACTGTGCGAGTTTAGCAAATTTATTCCCCCAAAAAAACAGCATTGGAGTAACAGAGATAAACGAGTACATATGAAGACATGTGCGTGCATGCAGAGCCATTCACGGCAGCCAACCGACAAACCTGCGCGGCAAGCCAGGGGCGGGGCCCGTTAAATCGCTCGCTGATTGGCTGTTGAAGCGGCGTGTGTAGGAGGAGCTACGAGTTATGCCGCTGGGAGAGACAAAAAATTGGTGAAGCAGACGACCAAGCCCTAAACACACGTGTTTGTCACCAAGTGGTGCTTCAGTGGAAATGACTGCTAGCTAATGCATTGTGGGCACAGGTGAGCGCAGCCAGAACAATGGATGCCAACCTGCTGGAGGTGTCGCTGGGAGGGTTGTTGTCCGTAATGCTGAAAAGCCGGCGGGAAGGAGTGGGGGGGACCCGGGCCAGCCTGGTCTCCTGAGCCACACAGAGGTAGAGACAGGAATGACCACCCATCACAGACCACCTGATCTTCAACTTAGATTTTGTCAGTTTCAATTTCTTGTCGTTAGTTTTCACGGAACACAGTGGTATTCTTGTGCCAGAGCTGCAAGGGATACAGACTGGTACAGGGAGAAAGAGAAGACTGGAAGAAGGAATTTCTGTGTCCGACGGCAGAATCGACGTCTGTGAGGCCTGGTCCGAGTGTGTCTGAGTGTCACCAGTGTGTGTGAATATCAGTGAGCCACCGAGTATCTGTCCAAAAGTATACAAAAGATTGCTGGTGTCTATGAGTATTAGAGTGTGCAAAGAACTGTGGTATTAAAACGTTTGACTTCATGTGTGTCGCTATGCAAGACGAGCACAGGAGTGATTTAGAAGACACTCCTCTGAGCCCAGAAAAGCTCACCAAAAGTGCTTAGACTGGGGTAACCGCACACGTTTCCCAGGTATAATCAGCTGTGTGACAGTATGCGAAGCATATTAGAGGATATACAGGAGCTCACGTTTGTGTGTGGGTCAGGCCGCGGTACCTTGGCGTCGGACTCGGAGCTGAGCCTGGGACTGGACGCTGAGCGGGTCATCGTCTGGGGGGTCCACTCAGGGTTGCTGCTCTGGCGACTGGGCTCGGTGCCCCCACCCAGCGCCACGGAGCTGTCCGATTTGCGCAGGGATGTCCTCCAGGAGCCCGGGGCCTCTGCCACAGGGGGCTTCCCAGGATCTGCCTGGATTGGAAAACAACTTCTGGTTTTACCCATAACTCTTATCTGCATGTTCAAAAACAATATCATTAAAGTATGTTTAAGTCGCGCCACCAACCCACCAAAAGGGTGGGGCCACATATACTCCCCAATTCCGCCTATACAAAATGCTGCATTCCTCTCTTCAGAAAATGACAGTTAGATGCACAGCCATCATAACAGCAGACTTGGTGCACCCCCAAAAAACAAATTACTTGCACGTATCAGCACAATAGTATGTGCACAGTCACTGCCCCCCCCACCCCCCACACACACACACACACACACAATGAGCCACGCCCACCTTTTTACTCTGGGTTGCCGTGGCGCTGGCTGCCGTGGAGACCGCAGAGAGGGCCGAGGTGTTCCGCTTGTTGTTGATGATCTCGCGGGTTTTCGCTTTCTCTGTGCCAGGCAGCAAACAGAGCGGTACGTCAGCCTTCGCGGGCGGCGCTCAGGGCCCTCGCATATCTGCCGTCTGATGCAGCCGAGCAACAGGTTTTGCCACATAACGAGCCAGCAACCGTCACGACCGGAGAGGGAATCTGCTCCTGAGATCAGTCCTGAACTGACAGACAACAAACACGCATTCCCTGCTCCGGGCCGCTACAGCAACCCACACCCAGACCCGTCGGTGCTGCACATGTCCACCTGACAACGCAGCTGTCAAGAACATTATCCAAGTCACCTGACTATCCATTCAAGACCTAAAGCCAACTGGATGTTCTTCAGGTGTTGACATTGCGACCTGCATGGTTAGTTTCCTAAAAGCCGCTATTGGAGGCAAAACCAAGGCAGGCAGAGCTAAAGCCTCATGACAAATAGCATCGGATCCCAGCGTGTGCTGGTTTTTGTTCCAGGCAAGATTTTAATTGGCCTCGACAGCTGAATGAATTGGGTTACAAATCATTTAATGAATATGCTTACAATGAACACAAAGACTCCATGCAATTTGGCTGCCAATCATTGAAGAGGAGTATTTATGACAACATAATACATACCATAATCATTTAGGGGTTATACCGGGGACCGCATTAGCCCTTAAGTCACCGTGGCATGGACTGAAGTTAATAAAGAATTACGTTAATTGGGACACACCTGGGTCTGTGCATGTGTTTGAGTGGTGTGGAGGACTTTATATAAAGTTTGAGGAACTGCATACACAGCACTGAGAAGTGACCACACTAAGCACTGAGAAGTGATCACACTAAGCATTGAGAAGTGACCACACTAAGCACTGAGAAGTGATCACACTAAGCACTGAGAAGTGATCACACTAAGCATTGAGAAGTGATCACACTAAGCATTGAGAAGTCGCCACAACACAACAAGGCTTCATGCAGGTCAATTAAATCCGTGGAATTGCCGAGCTAAATAAATAAGGTAATATTTTTGGATTTTTATGTGCAGTTTTCAGCTGACAGCGCTACTACTGGGAGACTTAAATAAAAAAAATCAGTAAGGAAAGCCAAAGAAAACATGAGGTGATACAGGGTAAATGGCGCAACCCCTGCGGAATATAATAATCAAGGAAATGGGGGGGGTAATGATTCCCGATCTGGTTCATACCTTGTTTTTTTCGTTTTGTTTTTTTTTTTGAGGGGGTGGGGAATAAGAAAAGAAAAACGGGGAAAAAAGATCTGGGTTTTATTAATCACCAGTGATGGAACATTAAACAGAAGCACACTAAAGAACATGGTAGATTACCTTAACAAAAAATAACTATGTAAACAAAAATTAATTAAAAAATAAAATACTATACTCCACTGTATAACTGCGATGTTCACACACTGCTGACCTGAATGTGTATGGGTACTCTGGTACTCTGGGTACTCTGGTACTCTGGGTACTCTGGTACTCTGGGTACTCTGCAGTCTCAGGGTTATTATCCATCTCGAGATAATGAAACTAGTCTACCTTTTGTCGCAGGCGCTATCACTTGATCATGATTGGACCAAAAGAGTCATGTGACACACAGTCAGATGTAAAAAAAAAAAATAGGTGTAAAATTTACAAAACATACAGCTTGCCCTTACTTTAAATAGAATAAATATTTCATGATTTAGATCTGTTATAGTATTAATTGGGAAATGAAAAATGAGTTTAGTAACATAAGTAATGTAACTGAGAGCTCAACAGGCTAATCCTGCAGGGCTGGGGGGGGGCAGATCTTCCTGAATTGCGACACAAGATCGTAAACATTTGAATCACTGTTTTGGTCTCGGTTTCAGAACCTTTACGCCATTAGAAGGTAACACTTTATATATCTGCATATGTTTTTTTTACTAGTTGGAGATGAGGCAGATCCTGGAATGACACAAACGTAATGGGAAAGGGGAAGGGGTCACCTGATTCGGCGTCACTTTCTGATTCGCTGTCCTCCTCCGAGCTGGAGCTGCTGGAAGCCCCAGAAGGCCCCTGGGGACCAGCCTGGATCTCTTCCTCCTCATCCTCATTGGGGGTGTTCTGCAGCGGCGGCGGCGGGTGCCGCTCCCGTTCATGCAGGCTGATCTTCTCTTTGCTGCTCATACGAGAAATTGAGGTCCTGGGGCGGGGAGGGGAGGGGAGGCGGGTGCCGAAGTGATGACGGACAGCATGCAGGGGCCAAACAGTGAAGGCGACACACAAGGTACAGCCAATTAGTGAGCAAGCAGACACAGGGAGACACAGTCATGGTGGTACAGACACCACCACAAGTCTGCAATTTAACAGTCACCGGATTAAATGATACTACCACATGTATTAAATGATATTTCTTAAAAGCAATTACTTGAGGTGGTGTACCACATCTCTAAAAACAGTCTGTACCTCCTTGTTGCCATAGTGATCTATAACTCACTATCCTGTGTCAGTAACCCACTGTCTCCGTGGTGACCGTGCCCGCTTTCACAGTGATTGTGTGAGTCTCATTTCTTTCCGTGTTTAATCAATCGGTTCCGATCGGCCTCGATGGCTGAGATTATCCCAGGGGGCACCGCAGTGCTGGGTGTACTGCCACGATGGTGATCTGGTGCCACGTTCCCATAGCAAACAAGACACCCGGTGAGGTGGTGACACACACCGCGCCCCAGGACCCGGCTACAGAGACACCCTCAGGCCCACCTGCGCGGCCGCGTGGCTGCCGTAGAGACAGGCGAGCTGGTCTCGATGATGGGCGGCTGGGAGGCTTTCTGTCGTTCACTTCGCATCTAAGGGTGATAGAGCCGAAGTGACAGAGGGATAAAGAGAGTAAAAGAGAGAATAAGAGATTCGGGGCGAGAGGAAAAATTTTGGACATGGGAAAACAAATAGACAGGGTAGAAATCAAACCAAATTTCTGACATAGGGACTTCCAGGAGGACAAAGGGGGACTGAAAGTGATAGAGGGACAGACAGACCGATGGACAGGCATGCAGATGGACGGATGCACTCACAACATTCTGTTTCTTCTGGAGTTCCTCCAGGGTGTCCACCAAATTCTCATCCGTGACATCCAGGGGAGTCTGGCCCTGAAACAGAGAGGCAGAATGTGGCTCCTTGAATCCGCCTCTCTCAGCCTGTGTGCATGTGTGTGTGTGTGTGTGTGTGTGTGTATGTTGCTGCATGTGATAGACTGTTTCAAGTTAAACCAAACCCTCCTAACCAGTTCTGGGTCTAGCTAACATGACAACGTAATGAAGGCCCTGATTATGTTCTGTCATAAAGGATTTCTTTCACAGAGCAGTGACACACAAACCACTTTAGAGACAAAAATCCAGTCTTAATCTGTATAATAATGTCAGTGTCATTTGTCATATTGCCCAGTTTTTCACTCTTACGGCAGTACAGTTAATGCCGCATTCTGCTGCATTCTGAACCATAACTCCAAAGACCGCTAACCCGAAATACAATAAGCATATCTGTTCGGGATTAGTGAGAAGGTTCACAAATCGCCAGTTCAAGTCAGTGGCTTCCAGAACAGGATGAGAGTCACAAGTATTTGTAGAAAAGCTGGACACAATAAAACTCACAGACATAAAGGCAACAGCCTGCGGCTGCTAATTAAAACCCTCCTCAAATGCAAGCATGGATGCCTGAAGTTAATATACAGGAAGGCAATGAAATTTTAGGAAGGTTAATTGGTATGGCTGGCTGTTCGGAGCAAACCAAATACCACTTATAAGTGGGGGTGGTGTGGAACGTTGTGGGACAGTGTGGGGCTATGGAAGGCAGTGTGGGACAGGGATTTTCCCCCTCACCACGTTGTTGACTGCTCCCATGTCACACATGTTGTCCGCCAGCAGGCTGCAGGCCTCTTCCTGACCCCAGTGTGCAGCGGCATGCAGTGGCGTCCACCCATCGCAGTCCTTGCAGTCCACATCCAGCCCGCACTGGAACAGCAACCTGAGTGGGGAGGAGTCAACAGTCACCACCATTGGGTTTCGCCACCAAACGGTTTAGCCAATGAAAAGTGGGTTAGGCGAGCAAGCCTGGATTCCAATCACTGCATTGGCGTGTTTACTGACATAAAAGATGACCAACACTACACATTTTAGAACAAACTCACGAGAATAACACAGCGATCCTTGTGTGTAGACTGCTGCTCACAAGGCAGCATTATAAATGGTTCTCAGCCATTTATAACTTTTGCCAAAGTTACCAAGATTCAGTAAATTACTACACAGTTATGTTTATGACTTCATGTTGTTAGGAGCAACTATAAAACAGAACAGAATATTAAATTAGGTCAAATCAGACGAAAAACACAAGTATGCTGAAGGAGCAAAACTTTAGCACGTAAAACCAGTCGTTCACTACAGAAACACAAACAGACAATGGATTCTTATTTTAATGTTTGGCTGCTTGCTTAGACATGGCATGACTATTTTAAAACCCTATTAAGACAAACATAAAAAATACATAAAAGCTAGTAATTAGCAAGCCCGCTAATTATTCGCTTAATTTAGCAATAATGCATTTCTGTAACTGATTCATGCCACATCCACCTGCGTATTGCCAGTTGTATTCATTACGTTCATTACTCTTGCCACTTATGCAGTTAATGAACGAGGTAGCTAACGGCCAGAAACCCCCCCCCCCCGAGTCTTCAACTGTACGAACAGCCTAGTTAGCCATACAGGATACAGGTAGGGCACTGGGTTACCGATACTGATTAGGCTACAGTAGGCAGGTTACAAGAGAATGACAGCTGGATGAACTTCCCCAAAACCCACAAGAGGAAGCAAAAAGAATCCCAAAAACAACAAAGATACACTGAAAGCCATATTTCCCTGTGTAATGACAGAAAAAGCCCATCTGGGCAGGAACAGGTATGACACTGTAACAAGACACTGCATGACATTACTTTTTTTAAACTTGGCTAAAAGCTTAAAGATAATCCAGTGCCCAACTGAAACTCTTGTCAGTGGTTTGGCGATATTTCCTGTGCTACCTTCACTGCGGTGGTTTAGATTGCAGGCCTGATATGCCTCTCAAATTAAGCTGGTTGGATCTCACAGTCAGAGAAAGCGAAAGACAGTCATCCATTAGTTTTCAGTGGAAGTTCAGTACAACTCCACACCCCCTTAAGAAATGTATGTGGTATCCTGCATATGTATATAGAAAATAAAAATTAAACATATCGGCAATGTTAACTAAATGTGCATTCAAAGGAATTCTTCCCAATTACCAGATCTTGTCTACATTAACATTTACTGTAACCTGAACACTCGGCCTACCTGACTGGGCATTAGTACAAAACCACAATATACAAAAGAGGTCTAATGCCAAAATGATGCAATATATTAAGGCTGCATGAATCGCTGACCATGAAGACATCATCAAATCATGAAATGTTCTTTAGCGAGCCACATAGTCACTGTAGCCGGCTGGCTACAGACACAAGCTAATGTGCGCACTTGGTGCCGTTAGCCGTTTAGCTAACAAGAGCAAGCCAGCTAAAACAAGCAGATGTAGGAGTAGCTAGCCAGTGAATACCTGCTCTGGTCCCCAGTTATCTACAAGAAAGAAGGTGATGGGATTTTTCTTGTGTACTATGTAAAATTGGAAAAAAGCATAATCCATATTCCACATTCTTTCAGACAAGCTAAATTAGCATAAATTAGCATAAAAGTGCCAGTTTCTGGAAGCAGCTGAAACTATGTGTTTATTATAGTCGTCAAAAAACAAATGGAATAAATG